AAAAAAAAAAAAAAAAAAAACAAACATGGTGTGCAAAAAAAAAAAAACCTGGTTATGGGTCGAAAGTCTAAAATCATGAGGAGGGCTGCTGCTGGAGGTGTAGCTTAGTGGTATAGCACTTGCCTAGCATGCAGGAGCCACTGGGTCCCCCATCCCTGTCACCAACCCTCCCTAAAAAAGGTAGAACTATCTTCTGGTCCCTTAACCTTGAGGACCAAGACCCATTCCTAGTTTGGACCAAGAGGGATCTTCTTCAGTTCGGTGGCAAGAAAACTGAATGCTTCAGCACCACCCATAGTGGCTCTCCAACCCCACTCATTGCTCTCCTCTGCCTGTCTTTTTCCCCATTGACCTGTCAGGAATGTTTCTAGTCTTTCCAATCACTCTCTCCATGAAACTGTAATAGCACAGAGAAACAAAGCAACCATGATCACTTGAGATTCTTCTGCCTCCTCCCAAGAATTGATTTCCACTCTCCAGGGGATATCACCCTTACCCAGGACACCTGTTCTGATGTACAGAAAGAAACCTGCAAAAAATTGGTTAGTCCCAGGGAGGAGGTCCCACGGAAGGAGAAAGGGCAGAGAAGTCCTAAGGTCTCTGTAGACCTATGTATTGCATGTACATCTTTCAGTGTGGATCAACCATGCATTACTTTCATTAAAAGAGAAATCAGAAATGAACCACAGAGTGGGTGAACAGATAAGAGCTACATGTGCACCCTGGACTATTACTCAGCAATGAAAGCAACAAACTACTGGCACTGGACAGCATAGGTGATGCTGCAGCACCCTGTGCTCAGACAAAGAATTCAGGTGCCAAAAGTGTCAAAAGCAAGAGGGAGGGTGCGATGCTGAGTGACAGGGAGATTTGGGGGACGAGGGACTGTTTTTAGCCTGATGTAGGTGAAATCACACAGTATTTGTCAAAATTCATTTCTGAAAATACCAGAGAAACTCTATCGCATATTTGTAATTTTTTTATAATCTAAATGACAAGGTAAAGCTAAGCAAAAACTTTCCTTTTCACCAACATAAATAACTTTAAGATTTATTTTTACAATACAACAAAACATGACAAAATATCCATTGATTGGTAATGAGGCAGAAACTACAGAGGGATCAGGGCTGTGCATATCGACCAAAGGATGCTGCATGCAGAAGGCACTAGAAAGAGATCACACTCCTGAGGCAATGGGGACACAAACCCCTCTGGACAGGGCTGCGGGAGGGAAGCCCTGCCTGGCTCACTGGTCCTTCACCAGACACACAGGTTTACCCAGCAACTGGGCACCAACCACAATGTGGTCAGCCCCAGAACAAACCTCAAACCCTCAGTGGGAATGAGATGGCCTATTTCTAGCTGTGGGCCCTGGAGAAATGAGCTGGACAGACAAGGGTAGAGTTCTTCAGGCAAAATAACACATAATGACCGGGGCTGAGGGTGCAGAGAAAGAGGTCAGGAAATCTGCAAAGAAACAGGATGATGGACAAAACCGTGGTTGGTCCACAAGGAAGCTCCCACCCTTTCTATGTGGGACACCAAGCTTACAAATCCACATCGCAGGACAAGTAAGCAGCTAAATCCTTCCTCCAACACCTCAAGCGCTACGTCTCAGCTGGGCCACACACTCCCTTTTTCCCCTCTGACATGCGATTCGGGCTAGACAGCCCTGGCCTTCTGACAGCCAGCTGAGATCACATTAGGGTTACGACTGAAGAGTTGCCTTACTAATCGCATCTGTACGCTGAGATCCCTACCAAATCCACTTGCTTTAGGAAATCGTTTTTTAATTTCCTTATCTAACAGATATGTGTTGAGCACTCACTGTAGCAGAGACTGACTCACCGAGAATTTAACTGAACTCAACAGCTCCTGAGCCCGAGGAGGGGAAGAATGCGGCCATATAAATCAGGCAAGTAAGCGAGACTTAACAAGAGAAACGCGGTAGGAGCTGCTGCGGGTAAGAGGCAGAAGAGGCCTCTGAGGCGGAGACGCCCAGGTGAGGGTCTGGGCAGAAGCAAAAAGAGCAGAGTGTGGAACAAGAGGCCGCGGGGGCGACGCAGCCCTTCAAAAATCACCTCCCGGGAAACACGAGAGCTCTGCGAGGAAGAGCGAGGGTCTGCGCCACCGCGGCCGCGTCGGGTCTGAGGGTGCAGCGGCAGGCACTGCCGGGCCAGAGCACCCTCCCGAGGACCCGGTGTCCGGATGTGGTTC